GTAGGTTAAACGTTCACGCGCGAGACTGAAGGCCCTGGTTTCGAATCCCACGAGCGGGATCATCGATGTGCACTGCTGAGGAGCCTCACAATAAGGTGAAACGGCCGTCCAGTGCTTCCAGGTTTCCAACAGTGGTCTAACATCAATCGGTTCATGATCTCAATCAAAAACTTAATAACCTCCACAACCCCTATAATGATACTGAATATTGTGACTGATTTTATCTACAAGAATGAATGAAATAAAGTCGAAAAAAAGTGCGATCCTGTTTTAATGGCTCTATATCTGTTTCTAGTTAGATCGGACAATTGACCGTTATCGAATGATTACTGACGAAATATACATCCTGGATAACCTCGTATTTAATCATCGACTTAAATCGCGTTGGTGAAAAACGGAGTTAAATAAGCCGAATATGAAAATGAATTTTGAATACGGATATTTTATACAAACATTGATCCAGGCAAATGATCGGAGAAACGAAGTGAAGAGAAGAGAGCAGAACAAAATGACACGTGATGGAGTTGGTTCACTTGCCTTCTCCACCGCACGTCATTTCGTTTTACTTTGCTTTTCGATCAATGATTGTATAAAATATACGTATTCAAAAATCTATTCTCATATTTCATTTATTTAATACCGTTATTCGCTGACGCGATTTAAGTCGATAATTATATGCGACGATTGGCGACATGTATATTTCGATAACGAGCAGCAAATGATTTACCTTGAGTCAGGTCTCGGGTTACTAACCTAGGACCGATAGGTTGTGAATAGGATCTTGCATGCGCACTGCCGAGGAGTCCTATACTAGGACGAAATGGCCGTCTAGTACTTGCAGGTTTCCCATGGTAGTCTAAGTTCAATTGACTCATGATCTCAACTATTAAAATAATTTTTTCTTAGTGTATCATATTAAATGTGAATGAATAAACGTCTGATAACTAACAAAATGACTATCCTGTTCAATGAGTACACTAATTGGAGTCAGGAAAAATGTTGTTTACAGGACTTAAGATGCGTCAAACGTATTATCTTCAAAATACTTTCAATTGATAGTAATCATCTTATCTTTCATTTTGATGGAGTTTTGTTCTCTGAGCTGAATGGTTTGGTTGTAATTTCTCATCGTTATTCTGAACAACACCATCAACACAAACTTCAAGTAGAAGTGAGGTGTTCAAATTTCTCTACATATGACTCCCAGCTTGTTCTGTAGACCTCGATCTTCATTGGTGATTGTTAATCTTAAACATGGCATTGTTTACTTCTTTATTTTGATTGTATCTCCCATTGGCTTGATTTTTATTCCTATGTTTGTCCATAATTTTCCTGATTGGTTGATAAATTGGATCGATGTTAATGTGCTTGTTTGTTGCTGATGGATCAGAGTGCCAAGCATTTAAAAAACCTCTGATGTTTTTTTAGAATTCCCTTTATCCAAGTTTTCCACATTATTACGGTTGAATGTATATCCGCAGTTGTCCACGTGCATTGATATAAGTGAGGATATGTCATGGTGTTTGACCTCCAATTAATGTTCATGCAGGTGAAGATGATCAGGGTGTCCGCTTTGTCTGATATAGTGTTTTTCTAATTTTACAAACCTATTTTAGCAATTCTTTGAAGACCTAGTTGATTAAATGCTTCACCGTCTTATATCCTATCGTATGAATGGCAATTTTGCATTGCTACGAACAAAATTGAATTCCCATTGACTGTTTGATGAGTAGACAAGGGGATATATCAAGGGTATCAAATCGTTTTAATTTCTTTTTGATTGAAATCATGAGTCAATTGAAGCTAGACCACCATGGGAAGCCTGGAAGCACTGGATGGCCATTTCGTCCCAGTATGGGACTCCTCAGCAGGGCGCATTCACGACCCCACATGCCAGATTCGAACACAGGACCTATCAGTTTCGCGTCAGGCGCTTAACCAACTAGACCACTGAGCTGGCATCCAATGGTGTTAATGTCTAACCTCAACCAATCCACGAAATTGCGCGACTATCTTCCATTATACTGAGGTAGACGCCTGTTTCTACCCGACACAGATTAGCTTCACTGGTCACGGCTTCTCACCAGAACTTCGAGAATTTTATTATATTAAGGCTTTCGTAACCTCAGTTCTTCTATATATTGAGTACGTTAAGAAAAATAGAAGCTTAGTCGAACATTAACTAAATGAGAAAGGTTACTATGACCAGATTGATTATTGGTCGTTGACACAAATGAACACTCATTTAGTTATATTCTTAGCTAACAACTATAGTTCTTGTATTTATTGAGCAAGAATTTATCACGTTTTAATTATATTCTTAAGTAGGTTCACATTGACTTCAACGATGCGACCGAATTTGGATCTACTCTATTTGTGACTGGATAATCAAGTTGTTGAAGGTTTAGATCATGTATAACTTACACAGATTTCAAAGCGAATTCTTTGATATATTTTCTAGAATGGTCGTTGTTTATTACTGATTAACTAATGAGAATCATACTGTCAGTAAATATCGATAATTTTTCACTTAAGACATGATTAATTCATCACTTCTTAAAGTGGTAACGTGTTTACTGTGATATATAAACGTCCTGGATTCTAGCGACAGATATCATATTATTTCCTTACACTTGTTACTCACAATGGAGCATAGGCCACCTGAAGCCCCTCTGTGGCTACTGACAGTTTCAAGCTCGGATAAAGGACAAGGGTTGGACATGGGGTTAACAACCCTATCTCGTAGAAAACTAACTTGCTAAAAATAACGCTAACTAGAAAAAATAATTCAAACCATTTAAACTCTAACCTGGGAGTTATAGAAGATTTTCACTTAGAAGAATTATGATAGCTCATAGTGAAAGCCGTGTTCCTTCGAAAGTCACAAGGCTGATGCCCCTTCTGACATCCAGAACAACCATTAATTTAGGTACATAGAATGTTCGTACAATGTGGGAGACCGAGAGAGTCGCCCAAATTGCTGCAGGAATGAAAAGAACAGATATCTTATACCTCATAAATAATATGATTCTCCACTCTATAGTCCTCCGACGAACATTTACGCAGTGAGTTAGTGTGCTGTAAGTACATTTCATAAATATCTATATTGACCAGCATGGATATCCTAGACAGGATATATTAAAGACATAATACTTCCTTGTTTGAATTATACATGAAATCACATCCCATTGCAAGAAATTGCTGAAACTAATAGGAACTTCCTTAATATACGAAATGACACAATTATTTGAGACATATTCACAGGTTGTATTATCTCACTTGATATGCACTGTACAGTTCATGAGGGTTGGGGACTGACATTTACTAGATGATAAATGAGAACTATAGAGAACTTAGTGATTGTGTTGAGTTCCATAACAATCATGGGTGTTATTTGTTACGATTCTATTCGGTTTGATTCATATTAATTTCTATTTACGAATGATTGAGACTATAATAATACGACTAGAATCGAACTCGATATACCAGCAACTGTTACACAATTATTCAACAATGATCATCAAAGGTGAAACTTAACATAAAGGGAACAATATAGAATAAAACCTGACACTTTTGAAGACATAGTGTAACAACCCTCTTTATATAGTAACCAAACATGACTTTGATGTTGTAAACTAAACGTTGCAGTGACCAATCAAAAAACATCTAAGTTCACGCGGTATAACGAATTGGGAAAATTTTATTCGCGGTTATTATGACACAAGTTTTGCATAGAGACGAATCAGTCAGTCAGGATGAAAAGCTTAACTTTTAGGGTTTTTTATAAAATTCAGTTATCTCATATGACGAACAGTCGAAATATCAGTGAGACTATAATTTATGGACAACCTATGAGCAACACTAAAGTAACATTGAGAATGTACACCTATTTACTAGAGCTAAATAAAGGTTGGAGACCTGTAGGAAGAATAAAGATTATGATTTACAGTTGATGGTTAGGGTTAGGAATTACATTTAGGGTTTTCATCACGAACTGACATCAGCTATAATGCCAAAACTCTATTTAGCCCAATAGGTGGGTGAATTTCTCACCGAAATCCGAGACCTGTAATCTTATACTTGATTGGTTCGTCCATAAATGATAGTCTTGCCGAAATATCTTTGTATACTGCTAAAGGTGTATAAAATGGTGATAAAAACTTACTTTTTCAACCAGAGAAAACAACGGTAATGTCAAACTTATCGAATGGTTAGTGGCATCTCCTCAGATCGCATCTCTGGGGAAATCTACATCATCCCTGAACGAACTAATTAGATGGAGTCCTTTGTATTTTTGCACCAGTAAATTCATCCATACAACTACAGAGCATGTCAATTCGTGATGAAAATCCTAATCCTCATTCTAACTATTTAATTCTAATCAAGAACAATGTGAGGAATGCTAAAAATCTATTTCAGTATTTAAGGGTTCAGGGAGAAGTGTAATCTTTATCCATAAGAACGAACATCATTCTTTTTATTTATTTCTAGGCAAAGTAACCTGTAGAAGGCCTTCATAGATTCATTAATTATTTAAAGTCTGTTTAAGCCTTGCAATAATATTACTTTCTTTCCCAGAATCTATCCATTAACGAAGGTTGTTTTCTAACTAGCTAAATTCTGGTTCTTTTAAGGTTGTTCATATACTGTACTCTAGACGAAACAAGTGCTAACTTGGAATCCTGAAGGGAAGCGAAAAATTGGAAAACCAAAGAACACATTTGGTCGGGAAATAGAAGCAGATATGAAAAGAATGAATAATAACTGGAAAGAGCTGGAAACGATTGTCGAGGAGATGATTGGATTGAAAATTCTGGTGGGTAGCCTATGCTCTTCCACGAGGAGTAACAGGCGTAAGTAAGTAAGTAGATTTTCAATGTCTATCTTGTATAATATACATTCATCATTATTATCATTGTAAGAGAAGTTAAATAAACAAAATTAATAATCCATTGAAAGGTGTATATTTTGTCAATTACATATGAATAAGATCTAAGTTGCTTCACAAATTTTATTCTGATTTATTACATTCACTTTCCGATTTAGCCTCATATGGTCTTTCTTCAGAATCACTAAAAAGTAAAATATATAAGCAAACATCACAATTTACAAAATTATCCAAGACACATGTTTCGTCCTATTTGAGACTCGTCAACTGGATGTACCTACATCTCAACATGGATATTCACTCCGGGACTCGAACGCAGTACCGTTCGCTTCAGGACTCAGTAGCTGAATGCATAGAGCAATGGCGTTTGAACTGAACGGTATTGAGTTGGAATCGCGGAGTGAATATCAACTTTGAGATACAGGTACAATCAACTGATGATTCGGAAATAGAATGAAATGAGTGTCCTAAATTCCACTGCTAGTCACTATCCATCGTTACTTATAAAGTTGATGAGTTAAGGCAATATCGAGGTAGTTCACACAGGATGTACATATGTTAATAAGAGACTGATCAATCGCGATCCTAAACAACAGTAGGAAGATACAATCAAGGAACAGCAAGTGAATTTCTCCCCTTACTTTTTAACTGTTAACCTTTTCAGAATGAAAAGTGTTTCAAAATTATCGGTAAAAACCGAAAGTGTTATCGTTTTACATAATAGATTTCAATGAAGTTCATCAAAAGGATCGTCATTATTACGTTGCTTTTTTGTAAGATGGTAGTTAGAGTTAGTCAACAGGAAACCCTGAACCTTGGTTTCGTGGTCTCATTAGTCAGGTGTACCTGTAATCTTGATGGAACTGATGCTCTCTGACAAATTCGATCCCATATTACCCAGATTCACAGTTAGTGGTAACCATCTTATCTCAGCATAGTGCACACAATGTAGAGTTACCTAGACTAGTGACCACATTGCAGTTTGGTCGATAAGATTCTGTCTGCACTAAAAAGTACCTAACATACATGACATTGATCACTAACCAGTGATAGGGGATAATTCATGATTACGTCAATACTTTTTGACAAGTATTTGGTACTGTTAGATTCTTATCGATTTTAAATGATGGTTTTGTTGCTCTAATCATTGCATGAAGAGTGAGATTTTAGTATGAAGCTTTGAAAGAACACCCACTAATTTCGTAGTTAATGTTATCATTCATTGATTTGCCGTTGATTTACATCAAGGAATATTTCAAATAGTGTCAATTAAGAATTAACATCTTAATGTTTATCGAGACTATTTGGCTCAGTGGATAGTATGTTAATGTTAACAGCGAACGATGCTGAGTTCGAATTCTAGCGTGAACATTGACACTGAGATTCAGGTATATCCAGACGATGGGTACCAAATAAGATGAAAAGTGTTTCTTAGATTTCAATTCCAGTCACAATAAATATGTAACAATGACAATACTGAGGCAATCCACAGAAGATCCACATAAGCTAAATACAACTGGATATCAATAACAGTCTGATTCAAACCCTTTCTAAGCATCATGTAGATCAGAAATGTAAAGGAATGTAAAGAAAGACTAGACAGTGATAGGATTTCTACCTCAATCTCTCTCTCTCCCTTCCATTTAACATTCGGTAGAAACGACATCACTGTGATTATAAATTTAAAAAACAAACCTAACACATTGATTATTAACTTATTATTGGAAAATCACTTACCCTGGTGCATAATTACAAACAATCAAATAATTCTTTCCACATTTTTCGTAACCGCAGCCTATTGCTTCAGTGGTATTCCAAACCATCTGAAAAATTGGAAGGATATAAAGTAACAATTGATAATAGTTTAGAAGATTTCAAATGTCTGTCCACAACCATATTCATAATGAGATCAAAAGTTTCACCACATATCTTACTAACCGACTTCAGTACTACTATGGGGAACACAGCGAACCTTTTCATCAAAAGCCCAGGAAGGAATAATCGGAAAGAGTAAAGAATAATATTGAGATGGTGGAGAAGATTTGTATATCAGGTGGATGATTTTGGTGGAGTTTTGTTCTCTGAGCTACAAGGTTTGATCGTGGAGCTTTTATCGTTCTTCTGAACAACATCATCAGCACAGACTTCAAGTAGAAGTAAAGTGTTCGAATTTCTCTACATATGACTCCCAGCTTGTCCGGTAGGCCTCCATCGTCATGGTGATTGCTAATCTTAAACATGTCATTGTTTACTACTTTATTTTGATTGTATCTCCCATTGATTTGGTCCTCGCGCTGATGACATCGTTCACAATGACAGTGAAAACCTCACGACCAAACCATCCAGCTCAAAGAATAATACGCCACCAAAAGAATGATGTGCAGCATACATTAGTTTGCAAATCGTAGAAGTAACTAATGAACAATATCAAACGCACGTAGCCTCTTCATACAGTAAATCAGATGGGAAACTTTTGATATTGATAAACAAAAATGAGAAGACTAAGAGAGACCAGAGGGAAAGCTAACAACAAAATAAATGCATTTTGTCAGCGTCCTCACCAAACAGAACTATGTCATCGTAATATTCTAAGTCAACAAGTAAATCACCCGGCAAAAGTTCAACTCTTGGGGATTTAGATGAGGAAAGCGTCATCTCTAATAGCACGTCTGCGATAAAGTTAAACAAGAATGGAGAGAGCGGACAGCCCTGACGAAGTTGTGTCGCACAGACTTGTTTGCCTAGTATACATATATATATATATATACTAAGTGTAAATGAGGAGAGGGTGTTGTTGGTAGAGGGGACTCGAACGTAGGACCTTCGGTTTCGTACACGAATACCCAACCTCTAAATCATTAAATGTATGTGATTTATTATTAATAATTAAAACAAACCTGTTTATAATTTTTACAATCTCCATTACATGTATTCGTTTTAAAATCATAATTTTTATGTTCTTCTAACCAATCTTTCATTGCCCTATAAAATGTAATAGAGTTAAATCATATTGCATAATTATAAATCTACCTTTCAATTGTTGGATAATCGCCTAGATTTTGTCCAATGGATTCAAAATCACCAATAATAAAATCATTTGGATCATTTGAATCATATTGACATCGTTTAGCTTGTTGTTTGGCTTTGTCAGCTAGAAGTTTATTCCATTTCTTAAGAATAATAGATCATAAAAACTGTATAGAATACAATGTATTTAATAAGAGAATAATGAGAAAATCGAATGGAAATAAGTAAAGGGGCTTATTACTTATGGATCATTTTACAGAACGTTTTACTTATTCTATAAATAAGAATATGATGTAATCAGTTCGACTAAATTGTGGTTGGATAGTAGGGGTGGCCTATGTGTGTATGCCATTACTTTCATTATAATCCGATTAAATTAATGCTATCCATCTTTCTTTTTCTTCTGATGGTTGACTAGATTATGAAGACCTCGATATCTGACGGGAAGCAAGAAATACAATGGACAGGTTAAATGCAACTAGACGTTTTGCACTTTGCAGATAACCTGACCCTTCTATCCCATACACACAAACAAATGCAGGTCAAAATAAACAGTGTAGCAGGAACCTCTGCATCAGTAGACGTAAACATATACAAAGGAAAAAGCAACATCCTCAAATATAACACGGAGAATATCAACGCAATCACACTCGATGGAGAAACTTTGGAAGAGGTGGAAACATTCACGTATCTGGATAGTATCATCAATGAACGTGGAGGATCTGATGCAGATGTGAAGGCACAGATTGGTGAAGTATTCCTACGAATGAACAACATATACAACTAAAAAAACTCTCTGTTTCAACCAATATCAATGTCACAAGCTCCGTTACGAATGTCAAATCATTTCTACTGTACGGAGCTGAAATGTGGAGAACTATCACTATGATCATCAAGAAAAAAACAAGATACTCAATATCCGTTGGCCGGATACCATCACTAACAACCTACCATGAGAGAGGACAAACCAACTTCCAGTTGAAGAGGAAATTAGGAAAAGATGATGGAAATGGATAGGACATACATTGTGGAGATCACCAAACTGTATCAGGAAGTAAGCGCTAACTTGGGATCGTGTAGGAAAAGGGAAAAGCGGAATGCCGAATAACACACTACATCAGGAATTGAAACAGACATGAAAAGGATGATTTTATTCAACAGTTCATGTTCATGAAATGATTAAGTACTTACATGAAACAGAAAGCTCTATTTACAGATCGATCAATATCGACTTACCATTTTTGCTAGTTTTACAGCTGGAGGTTGACCAGGTATCTTACAATTTTGTACATCTTTACGAACTTGTTTATGAAATCGGTAGATTTTACGTAATTCATCGGATAACTTTGTCTCCACATATAGAAATGTGAATAATAATAGTAAATAGCTAATTAGACTAATCTTAAACATATTTGATGAGAAGAATGAATAATTAACATATTTATACAATATATATATGACAATGACAGGTTATATATAGGGCATAGTTCGATTTCTGTATAATCATTATCAATGATTAAATGTTACTGATTATGAGTTGAAAGTGAAAGATTGTCTACTTGTCAATTCGGGCTTAATTTCCAGGAAGTAGTTGAAGAACTTACTTACTTACTTACACCTGTTACTCCTAATGGAGCATAGGCCGCTGACTAGCATTCTCCAACCCACTCTGTCCTGGACCTTCTTTTCTAATTCCATCCAATTTCATTAACTACTATGGAAAAAAAGGATGTTTTATAATAATGGATTGATCACTGTATAATAACGGTTAAATGCAACAATCAATCATTCTTATTGTCTATTGCTTATCTATGACAATAGAATAAGTTTGGTTTTGGTAAGGAAGTTGGAGGAAAACTGTGTTTCCTAAACATACTACTTCTTTTTCTGGGAACACATAACAAATATCGGTAATTGTTAGAATGCTAGGTTTGTGGAGATTGTGGTAAGCATTGGATGACTGTTTCATCCGAGTATGGAACTCCTCAACAGTGCGTGTCCACGATCCTGCACTCAAAAATTCGGATTTGAGGCCTTTGGTCTCGCATGCAAACGTCTGACCTCTAGAACAATGAGCCAACATACAACGGTGTTAATTCCCACTAGTCACTGGCTTCAAGATGGATTTCCCCGAATTCTAATGAGAAGCCGTGACCAGTGGATTCTGATCTCTGTCGGATAGAGACAGGTATCTACCACGGACAATGGATGAAGGGTTACGCAATATTATGGATTGATTGAAGTTGAACATTTGTACCGTTAGATGTCGGCTCAGTGGTCTACGGGTTAAGCATTCACCCGCGAGATCGATGGTTCCGAGTTCGAGGCCTGCGTGCGGGATTGTGGATGCACACTGATAAGTAGTTCCATACTGGGATGAAACTGCCGTCAAGTGCTTCCAGGCTTCCAATGGTGATCTAGCATAAACCGACTCATGGATTCAACTATTAAAATATCGTTAACACGTATTTTATGATTTGCAACCAGTTCATTCATTCTTACTGAAAAATAACAGATTAACTTAGGACAAGTGCCTAAGATTTAGTGACAACTACCTGAATTGTAATAAAATCCAAGGTATATTATTTTATTGATAATATCATAATACCCAACGCATCTTATTAGTTCACCATGTGAAGGGACAAGGGTATAATTAAACATCACATATGAGAGTGAATTATTCCGATCAAAGCTATTATCCCAACGTTATTTTATTGCGTTGCGTTGTTAATAGTTTTATAACTAGGCAGCGTCAACCAAATGGCTGATAAGTCGACTAAGTTCATCAGTACATTATACACTTAACAGTTGAATTCATGAGTTACTTAAAACTAGAACACCATGGAAAAAATACGGCCGTTTCGTCCCAATATGGAGCTCCTCAGAAGTGCACATCCATGATCCCACCCTGCAAGATTTGAACCCAGAACCTGTCGCTCTCGCTTGTGAATACTTAATTTCTAGACCAACTGAGCGGATATCCAGAGGTGTTAATGTCTAACTTCAACGAACCCATCAAATCGAGCGACACATCTACCATAGTCTTCAGTGAGTTACTATCTCACAACAGACGCAGTTGAACTCCATCATTCACGGCTTTTCACTAGAACTCTAAAAAATATCTTATGAATTCAGTCATTAGTGAGAATATGATAATTATTATTAAAAGAGGGTTTTGTGGAGATTTTTAATGTTGGCGAGTCTCATACGAAGATGAAATAGCTGTCCAGTACTCGCAATTGATTGATCACTGGGTGGTGACCAATGTCATGCGTGTCTAGTCCTTTTTAGTGCAGATCAAATTCTATCGACCATGATGTAATGCGGCCACCAGCCTAGACGATTCGACACTGCGTGCATTATTGTGAGATTAGATGGTGGTTGAAGGTGGTCGACAGAAAACCTTGGACCCGGGTTTCGTGCTACTTGGCACTCGTCCGCAAAACGTACCTGTAATCCTGAGGGAAATAGTGCTCCCTGACGGATTTGATCCTGTGTCACCCAACTTCACAGTCAGAGACGTTACCACTGAGCTATACGAGATCGAATCCGTCAGGGAGCACCATCTCCCTCAAGATAACAAGTACACCTTGCGGACGAGTGCCAAGTAGCACGAAACCCTGGTCCAAGGTTTTCTGTCGACCACCTCCAACCACCATCTAAGATATCTAGTACTTCCATGTTCGCAATAGTGATTTACCTTTAATTAACTCATGATCTCAACGATTGAAATGACTTATAATATCCATAAGAACCCTTTTTATTAATTATCCAATAATGAGGATATTCTATAATTTATTACATAATTATATATATATATATATATAGAGAGAGAGAGAGGGGGGGAGGGAGGGAGACTTAATGTTGGATTAATGACATGTTGTTACTAATTGAAAAACAATCAAAAAACCACACAAAAAACGTGTCAAAATTTATTGATTTTTCAATAAATAAAAAAATTTTTTTGTATAAATTTTTCGTTTTTTTTATTCAATGATTATTTGATATTCAATTCAATGATTCAATTGAGTTATAAAATTTGTTTATTATTCTTATTCAATATCTTAATGATAAATACAGAGAAATCATCAAAGGAGATGATTTTTAAATTTCATAATAAGGTACGAAAAGATGTACTGAAAGGTGTTTTATCAGATCAACCTAAAGCGAAAAAGATGCCTAAACTTGTAAGTTATTGTTTGGATACTTAGTTACGTACTTAGTTACTAATGCTTATTACCCCCTAATGGGGGAGTATAGGTTACTTATCAGCATTTTTCATTCTTACAGTTAACATAAAAAGGAAATATGATTATAGTTGAAAGATTTTTGGAAATTGGTTCAAATAGAAGTTGGATGTTATTTGATGGATCAATGGATAATAGAGTGAACTGGGCAGTTGGACTGGTATCTAATGGTGTTAATTGTGGCTAGTGACTAAATTCAAGATGGAGTTTTCGGAATCTTGGTGAGAAGCTGTCGTCAGTGGATTCTGATCCGTGTCAGATAGAGATAGTTATCTATCTTGGACAATAGATGAAAGGTTGCGCAACATTATGGATTGATTGAAGTTGAACATTTGAACTGTTGAATGTCCGCTCAGTGGTCTATTAGTCTCTCTTGCGAATGCTTAATATAGAGATCACTGAGTCAACATTCAATTGTGGAAATTTTCAACTTCAATCAAACCATAATATTCCGTAACCCTTCATCTGTTGTCCGTGGTAGATACGTCTCTGTATCGGACACGGATTAGAATCCACTGGCGACGGCCTCTCATTAGAATTCGAGGAAATCCATCTTGAAGCCAGTGACTGGTGGGAATTAACACCGTTGTATGCTGGCTCATTGTTCTAGAGGTCAGACATTTACGCGCGAGACCGAAGGCCCAAAGTTCGGTATAAGCCTTCTTATCTATGTGTGTATTGCTGATTTCACTTGAGATTGCTCTCAGAACATTAAGCTTTTGTAAAGAAAGAGTTTTTTTGAAACGACTATGTTTATTTTTAAAGTCAATCAGTTCATGATATATTTTAACATTATCCAATCTTATTTATTGGAGTATCATCTCACCTTATACAGATGACTGAAAGTTCTTAGATCGATTCTTGTTCGCAGGATCGTTGATAAGTGCCGTCGAGGAGTTCCATACAAGGATAAAACGACAGTTTTCTGATATTATTCGATTAATAATTTTAATCAAACTATCAATATGTTTGAATTCTATAATTAGTAATTACTCTTCACTAAGACTTCATGGATTCATTCTGAAAGGATTACAATAGTTTAATCAACATTTACTCATCTTTATTAGTCACAATATTTAATGAAGTGAAGTTTTATAGTATTTTTCTAGTAGTTGTCGGGGATACTGTCCGGGTACGTAGACCGAAGGTGATTTTGTTGGGGAAACACACTCGGAGACTTCGACATAAAGGTTTAATCCACAATGCACTGGAGCAACTTAAGGAGATGTAGTCCCATGGTAACCGGTGACTAACGATTGGTTCATACACTTTTTTTTCTCTCAGAATCCTGGAACCATGTACACCATCAGTTTGGGGTCAGGATTTTCCAACACCCCTAGATGGACTCTCTATGTCCGCCGACCCGGTTAAAGCGCCGGACATTTGCTTTTTGTTCTCTCAGTTTTGTAAACAACAGTAATGCCTCGAGAAGGCAGTGAATAGGACTTCCCTGACGGTGGTTGTATGCACGTGGTCACTTGAGAACATTTCGAGAGGGAAAGTGGCCATACCACGGCTTTTGGGGGACTTCTGATTAAATAGCAAAACGTCTTGATCGTAATGTTAAACATTCATGATTTGCACCAATCAGATACGCTTTAAGCTGATAATTGATGAGATTTTTTATTATGTACTAACAGGACCTGAATGACGCTATAACGTCAAAGGCCTTTAGACAAATGTTTACAGATGTGAACTGTTAAATTTAAATGTATCAAGTTCACTAAGAAACTTAAATCTCTGCAGTTCGATTGTATTTCAGATTTCGATATACAGTCCCAAACCACAGATGCTTGGTAGCTTACTAAACATTCTGTGTCAAATGAATATGTGGATTGAGCTACTATGTTTGTTAGTTATGAATTTAGCTAAATAAAAGAATAATTCTCTTTCGCTTAAATGTTAAGCGCCTTGAGTCAGTGTGATCTTTGAAACTTGTCTATATTTAGCTGCTAATCGAACGAATTCGTGTTTCATATATTATTTGCTTGTGAAACACGATAAATGTGATTGTACATTCATCGGTGATTATCTGGACGTTTCTAACCCGTGCTTTGATCACTATGTTAGATCACTTTTCTTACTCATGAAGATCAGTCTTTTGTGATTTCTCTAAGTTCTTAAAGTACAGAATTGTCTTTAGAACTAGCACTGGAACGATGT